CTCCGTCTGAACGTTCTGCCGGCCAGATAAACGGCGGATTCCGCTCCGACCTTGTTCGTGTTCACTTTGGCCACTCTAGTGCGCCCAGGTAAAGGCGCGCACTGTGCGTGCGCGGCGCTCTCCCGGGGGCTGGGGCGTGGCTGCGGAAAGGAAGCCCAGCCGCCGAGGGGGCGGGAGCTGGGGGCGCGGGGTGCGGGACCGCACGAGACAGGACAGGGGGCGGTGAGGATTAGGCGGAGGTGAAGTGAAGAAAGCGGGGGCCAAAGTTGAAAAGTGGGCCCAAATGAGACTTAGAAGTAGAAGAGCCTTTGGCTTATGAGATAAAGTAAAAAAAAAGGAAAAAATCTTGACCGTGGCCTCCTGGTTACAGGAAGGGCGATGCGAGTGACAGAAGACAGACATAAAGGAGGCAAGCTAATACGCAGTGTGATCACTGGCCAGATGAATGAGAAAAACTAGTCAAAAGTGGAGACATTTAGGGATTGCCAGAATGGTGTGAAAAACAGTTTGAGAGCGGCGCCCGTTCCGTGGCCAGGAATAGGGAAGGGGATGTGTGTGGGCTTGAGACATAGAGCTGCTGCAAGAAAGGAAGCCTCCATTGTCAGCATTACCGCATTATGACTAATTAGCTATTAATCATTAATATAATTAATGCTACTATTAGCTAACAAGTTAGCACTTATCCCAGTTGAGAGCCAAGAGAGGGTATCCATAATGGAAGGTGCTTGGAGTAGAGAGGGGAAATGAAGGAGGCAAGGGTAGAGAAGCCTTAAGACAGCAACTTGAAGGATCTTGACCTTTTCTCACCATAATCCAAACTTCCTTGATGTTTTTCTTTTTAAAATACTTTTTATTTATTTTTATTGATTTCAGAGAAGAAGGAAGAGGGAGAGAGAGAGAGAAATATCAATGATGAGAATCATTGATGGGCTGCCTCCTGCATGCCCCCTACTGGGGATCGAGCCCGCAACCCAGACATGTGCCCTTGACCAGAATTGAACCCGGGACCCTTCAGTCCTCAGGCCAATGCTCTATCCACTGAGCCAAAACGGCTGAGGCTTGATGTTTTTCAAATCTTATCCTAATTACATAATTCTCCTATTATTTTTAAAATATATATATTTTTATTTTGGAGGGAGAAGGGCGAGGGAGAGAGAAACATTGATCAGTTGCCTTCCATACACGCCCCAACCAGGGATGGAACCTGCAACCCAGGCATGTGCCCTGACTGGGAATTGAACCGGCAGCCTTTCGGTGCACAGGACAACACTCAACCAACTCAGCTGTTCTGGCTGGGCCTCCTATTATTAAAAGAACACTTAATAAATTTTCTTGCACTATGGCTGACCTCTCCACACAGTTTTAATACAGATGCAGCCACTTCTCCCGAAAATAGCATTATATAT